TAAGGAGGGGTGGGGGGAGGGGTGGAGAACCACTGTAGCCTAAGGTATACCTGGAGTATACCTGGAGAGGGTTCGAGGAGGTCTACTTCCCCTAGCTTATGATGCCTTAGCTTTGCTTGTGATAGCTTGGTCCACCAGGCTGTTGCTTGAAAAATGCCCTGTCCATACGCATCTACCTATTTCACTAGGTAGATACGCGCCTTTGATACCTGCTTGATGGGGTTCTGGGAGCTCCTCCTACTCTCCCAGCCCGACCCGAGGCCTGGCTCGACTTGTGAGAGCTTGGTCCACCAGGCTGTTGCTTGGAGCGGCCCGCAGGCCCACCATACTCTTCAGGGGCTTTGATGGAGTCCCGACCAGACTGGGACAATAACTCACACACCAAGAGCTCAATTTTAAATGGGAAAAAATAACTCCACGCCTTCTCTATTAAATAGTATTTTTACCCTGTTTCTCATTCGTCTCCCCCTCCACTTCTCTCTCATTTTTCCCCGCACAGAGGAGTTCACTCTCATCCCCCTCTCTCCCCCTCCCTTTCTTTCTGTGATTATTTGTCTGTCTCTGTAAGCCTTTTGTCTGTCTAGCTTCCCTTTTTTTCACTATTTGGGGAGGGGGGAGGGGCCCACCTTACGCCCACTCCCCCCTCCCTCAATCCCTCATCCCCCCCCCTCCCCACCTTCCCTGGCTTGCTCTCTCTCCACCTCAATATTTTCCCGACCCATCCGTTTCCCCGCCCCCCCCAGAGCCAAGCTGCATAATTTAACCCTGCACAGCCCCCTTCCCCCCCCCACCACCTCTTTCCTCACCCCCCCCCCTCACACCTCCTCACATCCCCTCACACCTTACCTTGGAGTGTTTTCGGGGCTTAGCGTCCCCGCGGCCCGGTCGTCGACCTCCTGGTTGCTGGACTGGTCAACCAGGATGTTTGACCCTTAATACTCAGCACCACTTCAATATACTATAAATAACACGCTCTTGAGACCTTACGGACCAACAGCCAACAGCCATACGGAATATAGCCAATGTCGTATAAATAGATAACATGATAAGCTGGATAACATGACCTCTTAAAACAGCCAATGCTAGCCAATGGCGACACTTTTTAGGGTCCTCGTTCAATTTAAATTAGAGTGAAAGTCCAAAGGCATTACACGTAAATCGTTAGATAATTTTTCTCCATCGGGAGGAGAGCTTTGTCAAATATCCACTTGGGTTGGACGGTAGAGCGACTGTCTCGCTTCATGTAGGTCGGTGTTCAATCCCCCGATTGTCCAAGTGGTTGGGTAGGCACCATTCCTTTCCCCCGTTCCATCCCAAACCCTTAGCCTGACCCCTTCCAAGTGCTATATAGTCGTAATGGCTTGACGCTTTCCCCTGAAAGGTCCCTCCCTCCCTCCTTCCCTATCCCCTATGGCAATACTCCACTAGGGACCTATCCCTCAACGTCGCCTCTCCCTCTGTATTATATTAGCTCCCCCGTTATCATCCGTTAGGTCCCCCTATTCCCCACTCCCCCCTACCCTTTTATTATACAACAGTGGGGCTCATAACTGGTGTACCACTGTTGTCTTATATACTTCCTGCTCTTGGTTACTTTTATGGACACATTATACAATAGGGGATATAATGACAATAGAAGGTGGAATGAGGGGTGGAAAAGAAAGAAAGAAAGAAAGAAAGAAAGGAAGGAAAGAAGGAAGGAAGGAAAGAAGGAAGGAAGGAAAGAAGGAAGGAAGGAAAGAAGGAAGGAAGGAAAGAAGGAAGGAAGGAAAGAAGGAAGGAAGGAAAGAAGGAAGGAAGGAAAGAAGGAAGGAAGGAAAGAAGGAAGGAAGGAAAGAAGGAAGGAAGGAAGGAAGGAAAGAAAGAAGGAAGGAAGGAAAGAAGGAAGGAAGGAAGGAAGGAAAGAAAGAAGGAAGGAAGGAAGGAAGGAAGGAAAGAAGGAAGGAAAGAAGGAAAGAAGGAAGGAAAGAAAGAAAGAAAGGAAGGAAAGAAGGAAGGAAGGAAAGAAGGAAGGAAGGAAGGAAGGAAGGAAAGAAAGAAAGAAGGAAGGAAAGAAGGAAGGAAGGAAGGAAAGAAGGAAGGAAGGAAGGAAAGAAGGAAGGAAGGAAAGAAGGAAGGAAGGAAGGAAAGAAGGAAGGAAGGAAGGAAAGAAGGAAGGAAGGAAAGAAAGAAGGAAGGAAGGAAGGAAGGAAGGAAAGAAGGAAGGAAAGAAGGAAAGAAGGAAAGAAAGAAAGAAAGGAAGGAAAGAAGGAAGGAAAGAAGGAAGGAAAGAAGGAAGGAAAGAAGGAAGGAAAGAAGGAAGGAAAGAAGGAAGGAAAGAAGGAAGGAAAGAAGGAAGGAAAGAAGAAAGAAAGAAAGAAAGAAAGAAAGAAAGAAAGAAAGAAAGAAAGAAAGAAAGAAAGAAAGAAAGAAAGAAAGAAAGAAAGAAAGAAAGAAAGAAAGAAAGAAAGAAGAAATAAAGAGAAAGAAAGACAAACACAGACACGTTTATGTCACCGTTACCTTGAGGTTATCTTGAGATGGTTTCGGGGCTTAACGTCCCCGCGGCCCGGTCGTCGAACAGGCCTCCACGTTGCTGGACCGATCAACCAGGCTGTTGGACGCGGCTGGTAGCCTCAAGGTAGCGGTGGTTGTCTCGTGTTCAGGGGAGGGAGTGTGAGATGTGAACACGCCTCCCTAAACCTCCCCTACCCACACTACCCCTCCCTACTGAAGCCCCCCTATACCCAGCCTACCAATGCCTTCCTAAGACCTTCCGTGATAGGCTAGTCCCCTGAATCATCACAAGGCAGACACGAGATTGGCCAATTCGCCCCCTAAAACAAGACACCATAATGGCAGTGATGACCCCAGAAAGGTGGTGATTGATGATGTTCATCATTACTGATGACCCTCCCACTAGCACCTCAATAAATAATGATACAATATTAATACTACACAGCTACGCCACATGCAATTACAAAATCCATACCAGACCTAACGCGAGCGTCGTTACCTTAACTCGTACAATATTAGAGCACCTTCAAAATGTTACATAAAACTACTTTATATACACAAAATACAAACTCCAGAAAGGGTTAATACACGCTGCGTCTTGCTGAAGATATCCTATTTATTACGCCAAAAATTTATAGTCAGATTTATAAACATTGGCTGAAAAAGTCCACGGTATCTACCCTCCATATTTCACTACCTACGCGCTCAGACTTCTCGACGGGCTTCCAAGCTCGACTTCGGTAATGATAATTTTAGATACTGTAGTGTTTGTGCTTTTGTCTGTCTTATAACAGAAAAATATATGGGGTAACGAGTGATACCCCATATACCTGGTTGATGGGGTTCTGGGAGTTGTTCTACTCCAAGCCCGGCCCGAGGCCAGGCTTGACTTGTGAGAGTTTGGTCCACCATATATATTTTACCCCAGTGTCCCCCCATAGATGGGGGACACTGGCATGTCGTTTCGTGCCCCTTATTGTCTTCCAGTGAAGCGTCACCACAGAGAAACACATTGTATCATTGACAAGTAAACAAAAAGTTACTTTCACTGTATTTGCTGTTTTCTAACTTTCAATCTGTTCTATTATTAATGGCAACTTCCTTTAGTATCCATGGTAGGATTCTCTGGTCCAACAGATTCAGTTGTATACAGTTCCAGCACATGCCTCCTTACCTTTCCTCTGGTAATCTCAAAGTCTCGCACACAAACCTACCTATCTCTCCCTCTCTCTCTCCCTCCCTCCATTTCTCCATCTGTGTCCTCTCCTTCCTAATTCCTGGCCTCATATGAAGTTCCGTTCCCCCACTCCACTCGCCCCTGCATTCTCCCAGAGTTTAGGGAGATACTATCCACCTAGGGAAATTAATTCAACATTTTCAGTGAAGTATTTTTATCTGCATGTTGGGCAGGCCGAGTTTTTGCGGAAGCGAAGGAAAAGGAAATAGTGTGTGAGAGGGGAACAGTGTAGATGAGGGGAGGGGGAATGGTGCAGATGAGGGGAGGGGGAATGGTGTGGATGAGGGGAGAGAATATGGTGTGAAAGATTAGGGGGGGATGTACTTATACTTATAACAGTACTTACAACTTCAGAGGGGGGAGTTATAACTGTTTAACTACTTATCCGGCACAATAACAATGTCCCTCGAGCTGCCATGAGGTGGTCGCGAGGATCGATTACATCTAACATAGGGAGGTTAGGTATATGCAATCCGGCTTGACTTCTCAGAAGGGTCAAACCGGAGGGGACAATGCCCTACGGGACAAGTATGACTGACCGTCTCCTCTCTTTTGGCCAGAGAGAAGACTCTCAAACACCTTCCAGCGAAGACTCCGACGGACTCCTTCACACACTATTTTTCCTGGAGTGACTTTAGTATGAATACTGGAGAGGGAGAAGGGAAGATGGAGGGGGGAGATGGAGGGGGGAGATGGAGGGGGGATACGGAGGGGGGAGATGGAGGGGGGATACGGAGGGGGGAGATGGAGGGGGGATACGGAGGGGGGAGATGGAGGGGGGTGATGGAGGGGGGGTAGGAAGAAGTCAGGGAGCATATATTTGATAATAAATAGCGAGGGTATAGGGGGGGAGGTGGAGAGGTTATGGGAAAAGGGTGTGAGGGGGGGGGGAGGGGAGGGAGGACCCGGACACCGAGTCGTCCCGGGCACCGCCGGTTACCCAGCGTTTAACCTGTCCGAACACCTGATGAAAACCCAAACAAACCTAAAACCGGCTTCCTCGTTGCTAGACTGGTCAACCAGGCTGTTGGACGCGGCTGCTCGCAGCCTGACGTACGAGTCACAGCCTGGTGGATCAGGTATATAAACGGGTAAAAATAATAGTTCATGTTCCCTCTCAAACGCCCAGAAACGACCAATAGAACAACCAATAGAAGTAGCAGTTGTTTTACTCTTCCCATTTTCAATGTCTGGATTTAGTGAAGATGTAGGATAGTACTCCCAAGATGACCCGTTACAAGCAGCAACAGGCAGAAGGAACACTTACCACGATCATCTCGGAGGGCTCCAGAATAAGACACTCATTGGCTCGCCTGCCTCCACCTCCCGACCGCTTCCCGAAGCTGTGTGAAGAGAAACAAGAACACATTAAGAACACGTTAAGAACACGTTAAGAACATTCCAAATTATGTCTAAGATTTTGAGTTGAGTATGGGGGCCAGCTGGAGCTATATACGTGACACTGGAGCCAGGTGGTACCTATATACGTGACACTGGGGCCAGCTGGAGCTATATACGTGACACTGGAGCCAGCTGGTACCTATATACGTGACACTGGAGCCAGCTGGAGCTATATACGTGACACTGGAGCCAGCTGGTACCTATATACGTGACACTGGGGCCAGCTGGAGCTATATAAACCAGAGGCCCTGTTGGGCCACAGAGCCCATCCCCTCCGGTTAGTTGTCCTTGTTGGAGAATGAAGCCGGAATAGGGTAGAACAGTCGAGAATTCCAGGTTCGAGTCCCGGGCGGGACAGAAATGGTTGGGCTTGTTTCCTATCTAATGCCTCTGTTCACCTTATAGTAAATAGGTACCAGGGAGTTGGTCAACTGTTGTGGGTGGCATCCTGGGGAGAGTCAGTAGTTCGCCCTTGTGGGGCGTGGGGGGGGGGGGAAGTGTCCGACTTCTGGAACTGTTGGAACGTAGAAAAAAAGGAGTGACAAACTACTCTTTCTACCCAAATTCCATTTTCCTGAACCATCTTCATCCCCTCCAATCCTCTACCATCACTCCACTACCACCTTCCACTCCACTACCACCTACCACTCCACCACCACAACCACCTACATCCCCCTCAATGCCACTCCACCACCACAACCACCTACATCCCACTCAATGCCACTACCACCACCACCACAATCCACGCTACTGGAATGGCTGGCAACCTAACAGTCGGCTCCTGGAATTCAAGACCGCTGACCAGAGGCGTAATTCCACCCAGTCAGAGAATTGCTTAGTTAATTAAAACCATTTGAAACGTACGTCCATTGCCACCCAGCCCTCCACCGCCTGCCCGGCGGGAGGCCACAATGACCTCCACCAGCACCTCAGTTCACTCTGTTGTGTTCAACGTTTAAGTTCATCTTCTGCTGCTCTTCCTTGTAACACTCTACGACTGTCTAACTGAAGATTATAACAGCATTAACATCTTTGAGTTAAGTAACCCTCTTATAATTTGCTCGATACCTGTTTGATGGGGTTCTGGGAGTTGTTCTACTCCCCAAGCCCGGCCCGAGGCCAGGCTTGACTTGTGAGAACTTGGTCCACCAGGCTGTTGCTTGGAGCGGCCCGCAGGCCCACATACCCACCACAGTCCTGCTTCTTACCTGGAGACTGGTTCGAGAGTTGTTCTACTACACGAGGACATACATTACATATTTGCAACACTGAATGACCTCAACTGGAAAGAAGAACATCTGGAAGCGAAGAAGGAAGATCATGGATGATACGTCGAAGCTTGGGGTATAGGTCTGGTGGGTATACCTTGAGGTTATCTTGAGATAACCTCTCTTCGAACCCGGAATATAGATACATCTATACAACAAAATATTGCCGGAACAACCGCGGACATCTTCAAGAGAAAACTAGATCATTTTCTTCAAGGAGTGCCGGACCAACCGGGCTGTAGTGGGTATGTGGGCCTGCGGGCCGCTCCAAGCAACAGCCTGGTGGACCAAGCTCTCACAAGTCAAGCCTGGCTTCGGGCCGGGCTTGGGGAGTAGAAGAACTCCCAGAACCCCATCAAGCATGTTCTTGAACCCCATCAAGTTCTGGGGTTCAAGAACCCCAGAACTTGTATCAAGCAAGGAAACCGAATCAATATACTACAATATACTACAATATACTACAATATACTACAAGGCCAGACACAGCAGCAGGAAGCAGACGAGTAGCCAAGCCCAGAGGCACCTTACCCATCTTGTGCAGGTTTCGGGGATCAATGGTTCCGCGACACGGTCTCCGACCACGTCAAAAAAAGTCATTACGACTAAATAGCACTGGGAAGGGCTCAGGATAAGGATTTGGGATGGGACGGGGGGAAGGAACGGTGCCCAACCACTTGTGGACGGTCGGGGATTGAACGCCGACCTGCATGAAGGGAGACCGTCGCTCTACCGTCCAGCCCAAGTGGTTGGGCACCGGAAGGAGGAGAGCCAGTGAAGAACCTGCTCAAGTCGGCCAGGTAAACAAGTGAAGTACAGCGACTAGGGGTACTAATTGGCAGGTAAACAGGGGGTTGCACTCAGTCTCGTACACGCCCCCCCTTCTCCCCCATTAACTCTGACGGAGAGAAATGTTTTGGTGGGGAAGCTAGTGGTGGTTGGGGGTAGTGGGGAGGCTAGTGGTGGACCAGTCCAGCAACCAGGAGGCCTGGTCGACGACCGGGCCGCAGGGACGTTGAGCCCTGAAATCATCGCAAGGTAAGGTGGGTGGTGGTGGTGAGGTGAGGGGCCTCGTAGCCTGGTGGATAGCGCGCAGGACTCGTAATTCTGTGGCGCGGGTTCGATTCCCGCACGAGGCAGAAACAAATGGGCAAAGTTTCTTTCACCCTGAATGCCCCTGTTACCTAGCAGTAAATAGGTACCTGGGAACTAGTCAGCTGTCACGGGCTGCTTCCTGGGGGTGGAGGCCTGGTCGAGGACCGGGCCGCGGGACACTAAAAAAAAAAGCCCCGAAATCATCTCAAGATAACCTCAAGAGGCACTAAAAACCTGTGGCCAGATTCACGAAGCAGTTACGCAAGCACTTACGAACCTGTCCATCTTTCCTCAATCTTTGGCGGCTTTGTTTACAATTATTAAACAGTTAATGAGCTCCGAAGCACCAGGAGGCTGTTTATAACAATAACAACAGTTGATTGGTAAGTTTTCATGCGTGTAAACTGTTTAATAAATGTAACCAAAGCCGTCAAAAATTGAGGAAAGATGTACACGTTCGTAAGTGCTTGCGTTACTGCTTCGTGAATGTAGCCCCCAGGTCTCCAACCCTGTCCATGAAGGACAGAACAAAATGCATATATAAAGAACAAATCCACAAGGGCCGTGACGATGATTCGACTTGTCCATTTGATGCATCACATTAGTGTGATCTCTGTGTGTAATGTATATATATCTTCGACGTCTTCGCGTCTTGCAGGTCGGCGTTCGATCCCCGAGAACGAAAGTGGTTGGGCACCGTTCCATGATCTTTTTTCCTCCTAGGCAAGATAAGGTATCCTATCCCAGCTCCCATCCTTTTTTCATACTCCTTTGAAGGAACAAGTGACGTGATCAATCGGGCTGTGATTCATGCGTCAGACTGCGGCGTTTAACAGCCTGGTTGACCAAACGGAAACGCTTGATCAGAGACCGGGCCACGGGGACACAGCTCCTAGGAACCGCCTCAAGGTAACCTTTCAAGGCAGCTCCGAAGATCAAGACCGCCTCATGCACGCAGTCTGGCGTAACAATCACAGCCCGGTTGATCAAGTACACTTAAACTATATAGAACAGCCACTTAAGAATCTGCTGCACACCTTTTCAACGGGGCTATTCTGCCCTTGTAGCCATGCCTCCTGGTCACACCTAGCGCTATCTCAGTGTGCTGATTTAGAACCAGTCACTAATATTTTCATTTTGCTTTAAAAGTTATTCTGTGGAATATTTTTAATTTTGTTTCTCGCGAAGCCTGAGGCCAGCCCTCCCTGGAGACTGACTGGTTTTGCGTAAATTTTAAGCTAGGCGATGTGGGCGGTGACGGGGAGGGGCCTTGTGAGGGGGGGTTGTTGGGGGCGACGGAAGGGGGGGCCTTGTGAGGGGGGTTGTGAGGGGGGTTGTTGGGGGCGACGGGGAGGGGGGGGGGCCTTGTGAGGGGGTTGTTGGGGGCGACGGAGGGGGGGGGGCCTTGTGAGGGGGGTTGTTGGGGGGGAGGGGGGGCCTTGTGAGGGGGTTGTTGGGGGCGACGGAGGGGGGGGCCTTGTGAGGGGGGTTGTTGGGGGGGAGGGGGGGCCTTTTGGGGAAGGGGGGGGGGCCGTTGTGGGGGGCACGTTAGGACACCAGAGTACTGCGGTGTCCTATGCAAATCACTGTTATTTTAAGTGAGAAAGAGACCAGCATCATTCCTGTGGTACAGAGCCCAGCCTGCCACCCCCTGCAGGTGTGGAGTGGCAGAGCCCAACCTGCCACCCCCTGCAGGTGTGGAGTGGCAGAGCCCAGCCTGCCACCCCCTGCAGGTGTGGAGTGGCAGAACCCAGCTTGCCACCCCCTGCAGGTGTGGAGTGGCAGAGCCCAGCCTGCCACCCCCTGCAGGTGTGGAGTGGCAGAGCCCAGCCTGCCACCCCCTGCAGGTGTGGAGTGGCAGAGCCCAGCCTGCCACCCCCTGCAGGTGTGGAGTGGCAGAACCCAGCCTGCCACCCCCTGCAGGTGTGGAGTGGCAGAACCCAGCCTGCCACCCCCTGCAGGTGTGGAGTGGCAGAGCCCAGCCTGCCACCCCCTGCAGGTGTGGAGTGGCAGAGCCCAGCCTGCCACCCCCTGCAGGTGTGGAGTGGCAGAGCCCAGCCTGCCACCCCCTGCAGGTGTGGAGTGGCAGAGCCCAGCCTGCCACCCCCTGCAGGTGTGGAGTGGCAGAGCCCAGCCTGCCACCCCCTGCAGGTGTGGAGTGGCAGAGCCCAGCCTGCCACCCCCTGCAGGTGTGGAGTGGCAGAGCCCAGCCTGCCACCCCCTGCAGGTGTGGAGTGGCAGAACCCAGCTTGCCACCCCCTGCAGGTGTGGAGTGGCAGAACCCAGCTTGCCACCCCCTGCAGGTGTGGAGTGGCAGAGCCCAGCCTGCCACCCCCTGCAGGTGTGGAGTGGCAGAGCCTCACCTCAGTGACTCACTGTGATGGTGAACCCCAGAAGTGGTCATTTCCTGTATCTGATTTCGAGGGTTGTTCTTCTATAGCCTTGTCTGTGTAATCTTTTCTGGTTATTGCCTAGTATATGAGGACGTTTAGTCTCCTTAGCCCGAAGCCCCACGTAGCCATCACAACCTGATTAATCCAGTAACGCCACTAGAATCCTGCTAACCGAGCTACTAGTCACCT